CTTTGAGGTGCTACCCATGACAGATGAACTTTTCTCTAAATTCGAATTACACTCATTATTCTCATAACTTCAAAGCAGTTTGTTTTTATTTCTAGTGGACAGATGAATCAAAAAGCCTGCAGATGGTGATCAATTACAAGGAACTCAAACTTTCCGTTTCATTGTGAGTTCCTTCTTGTTCAAGCACTAACAGTTTCATACATTTTTATTTCTTATTTTATTTTTTATTCATCCAACCACCTTGCCTGCTCATCAATTTATCGCTGTACACATTAATTTTTAACGCTATATCAAATCTTTTTATTTCGTTCTTCTTTTTCTAGCTCACTGTATTAATTTATGATTTACTCTTGCAGTCCGCTTTTAACTCGCAAAGTGTAGGTTCATACGCGTCCCACCCAGTCCAAGTCCAAAAACGATAATTCTGGGAGAGAACGTTTCAAAACAATATTACACCTTCGAGTTCCCAATTACCACAATAGGTTCCGTTGCTGGAAGAATAAGTGCTTCCAGTCCGTTACTGCTAGAGTATCAAATCCATATTAAGTATCAATTTTAAACAACATATGTATAGTTCAGAAGGAAACATAAAAACTTCGACATAAGCACAAGATATAGAAATAATAACAATATACAATGATAAAATCTCAAAATGGAATTAAATCGAGTACCGAAATTTCAAACAGAAGAGTCAGTCATTTCATAACACAAAAAATGGAGGGATTTTCCAACAAACAAAACCTTCAAAATAGATTCTACACATTTTCCTTCCTGTCTCAAAACTACCTAATAACTGATACATATCTTACAATTAGTTTACTTAAAATCAGTGTGGCATGATACGTGGATATTTTGTCCTACATAACGTGGAGCTGGTAGAGGAAATGTATCCCGACAAGGTGTATAAAAAATAGAGCGTAGACTAAAAATGACATGGTTTAAAACGTAAGAGAGCCTAACATCACAAAAGGAGGGAGGGATGGTTTATCTGACCAGCGTTCATGACGGTAGGGCGATAACCTCAGTCTAACCATATCTGTGGGGCAGAACATTTCGTTTGCTTACGGCTTCTTACGATATGGCAGGATGTAAAAAATCTTTTTACACGTCGTTTACGACTCATATTCATAACATTGCACGAGCAGATTTACACAATTATACTGAAAAAGACCTCACAGATGACTTCTTGAACTACTGGGTTAAGAAGTAAAAGAATAAACAATATATCACGGAAGCAGCAGATCACCAAGCCCCATTATTACATTTTGTAAATCGACATCATTGTTACACATTTTTGAAACCATGAGTCGATCAATGTTAGACCACCACTAGAAACCTGGGAGCACTGAACGGCCGTTTCGTCCTGGTATGGGACTCCTTAGCAGTGTACATATGCGACTCCTGCACCCCACAGGATTTGAACCCAGGACCTTCGGTGATATGCGCGCACGCATAAACATCGGACCACTGCTGATGAGTCCCATACCAGGACGAAACGGCCGTCCAGTGCTTCAGGTTTCTAGTGGTGGTCTAACATTGATCGACTCATGGTTTAAAAATGTGTTACATAACAATCTTCGCAACCCTGTAATGCAAACATCATTGTGAAAAATGTGGTTCTTCTGAACTTCCTCGTTTCATACGATTAGTTGTCCATTCGTTATCTTACTAGTGACTTGCCCTCATTAACATACATATGCGCAGATGTATTGTTTGTGATCTCATTAAAAAAAGCACCTAATGAGTCATAGCTCGACTTTAAAGAATGATATTTTCTGTTCTGCTCCTCTCCCTATCCTCTTTATTTCTTTTACAGCATCTTGTTCCAACCCTTAAATATTAGTCTGGATATTTGCGAAGACTTGGTTTCTTGGCCCAGGAGCCTGTAAATTTATTGTCTGAACAATATCAACCAGATTTTAGCACATTTACCTGATCAATTCTTGTTATATGCAGACCCGGCTCTACTTTGCATTGTTTCATAGTCGGGGGTTCGTCGTGACGCAACTGTAACACATTTTGTTTGCTTTCGGCTCTTTAGATTGATGAGACGACTAATCAGTAACACTGAGGTTGCTATTATACGCTTGCTACTTCTGTGGTTCATGTTTCCAAAACTATGCTGAGGTCGCTATTCTGTCGAGACACCTGCAACATTCTTACTCAGGCGCTAACAGTATGACTTAGAGGTTGGCATTCAATAATAAAGAAAAAAAAACAGTTAGACAGTGCGAGATTTTATTCATCTAATTTTTATTTTTACAAACTCTACTCTTTCAAATAGAATTTCGATTTCAACGTACATAAATCCAGCTTCTTACTTCGACTTCTCTTCTGTCCACCTGACACTGCACAACTCTCCCTTCTTTTTGCTGTACTCCTTTATCTGTGCGTTATATTCTTATATTCCCATAATTTACTTTAATTTAAGTGGTCAGTATGAATTTTATCTTGACTTACTACTGTATTGACTACTTTAACATGACAGGTTAAGTAATGCTTTGGTTATATATATACACTTGCCACAGTGCTGCCTTTTCCTCTCTCTCTTCTCCTTTTCAGAACCCCATTCACGGTGGGAAATCCTTGGCGACTCTAGGGAACATGCACCCTATGTACATGACTGTCTGGATCACAGCTCGTATCAAGCGCGTTCCATATGACCTTTCCCAACAAATTCACTATTGATCTCGGCCAATCGCCAATAGAACCAATTGTGCACCTTCCTCATTTGTACTCTAATATTGAAAATGTGGCTGTATAATACTGTTTCTGTCAGTGACATGGTGTAAATATGCAATCAGAAACTGACTCATAATTATTTTAACTGCTATAACTTTACAGTGATTGTGAAAGCATTTGTGACAATTTGATCTAGCCTGAAAACTGGCGTGACTCTTGTAACGTAGTTATTTGAGAATAAATTATTATTATTATTATTATTGTAGCTCGCGCTAATTATTCGCATTGTACATTCCATCTACATAAAACCAATGTATCTTGTGAAATATATCAGTAACCGTAAATGTTAGCAATCTTAACATTCTGATCTTGCCTGTGAAGTGGCATGCTTCTTGTAACATGTTGTTATTTGAAACGCAAACACATTGAAGGACCAGTTGTTATTCTAGCTAGCATGCTGAAAAATGGTAGCAATAATCTGTGTGGTTCACTTCTTAAACTATTTACCATATCATTCCGTACAGCGTGTTACCTAACACCCGGAAGACTTCATATACCGTTTCCAAAAATAAATCAGGGCCTAAAACAAATGTGGAAAATTACTGACTAATAAAGATGGCTAGAGATGTTTCCAGGGTGATGAAGAAAATAGTAGAGGCGGAGGTAACAATCTGTGTCACATAATCAACAATTTCCCTCTCACGAAGTGGCGTAGTTAACAGCAAAATGAGTGGTTGATAAATAAGTGCTCAGTACTTGAGAATCAGTAAGATGAAGTCAGATGTGTACTTAAAACGATTCGAGCAGCAGTTTCCAGCAGGTAGACATAAGCTAAAAATCAATCGGAGAACCGTACCATAAACTTAGGTTTGGTCAAACACTACCTAACTATCAACTGCTTGGCAAAATAATACAATCATAATGTAATCATGAACTTCAGTTGAATGCTGATGACTGAGGAGCTTAAAAAATAGTTTAAGAAGTCCTGTGTGATAGCCAAATATAAAAATGTGGTCAAAGAGAGAGGAAATAACAACACCATCCAGTTAAAATCTAAGGAGCCGTTTAAGGACTATCCTTTTTGTTCTACCGGCGCTAATTAAACAGCCCCTCGTTAGCAATCTCATCTCGACTTACCAAAATGGGATTTTGAGGTCTAGGTCATTACTAACTCTCGCCTTACTCATAAATTTTCAGTACACTCTTCATTCATCTTCTTTCACTGGTTATCCACTCTTTCCATTCCCAGACTACCTAATAACTAACATTCCTCTTACAATTCATACTATTAGTTAATCTATTAACAGTGGGATTTCCTAATCGGAAATACAATCCCCCATGCTGAAGAATTAGCTGTCTGGTTTTCTAGTAACATCTAACTAGAAGAGACAGTGTATTTCGAAAAGGTGTGCGAAGTGCAGATTTACCTAGGTGTTAACAAAGCATATCACAACGGTAAGAGAGCTTAACATCACCTGATGAGGATGATGTTATTCCATACTAAACAACTTCTTGTGCATCACTACCGAATTATGTATACTACCAAAGAACTCTGTTGGGTACTGACACTATTTGTAGGCACTGGTTAACAATATCATTGTATCACATGGGTCATCCCGTTAAATGGTGTGTACCTGCATCTCTGAAATATAATATAATGATCATTATTAGTTCATACTACCTGCATATTGTTACGCTTCGTGTTACCAGCTATTATTTCATTATGTATGTATGATGAATCTATTGCTGAAAGCACAAACGTTAACAAGTCTCTTTTCCATTTCATTCTCAATTATCAGTCGAGGTAATCCCATAATTCCTATTACGATCGCCTTTGAAGTAGTGTTAGTGGAGGGATTACTCCGTGTTTACCTCAGTATCTGAAATAACGAGCAAGGCCGAAGTCCACTGTCCAGTCAGAAGGTCCAATCTTTCCCACTTTTAGCCTTAGAATACAATATCGTAATGTTTGCAAGACCATCAATAGACGATACTCCGTTAAATAAATCACAGATCTTCAACGTATCCAGATATCTCTAGTAAGGTTTATTGCGTGTTGTTATTGCCAGTGATCTTGAAGCCATACATTTTTTATTCATAACGACCATCTTATGTCTCTGTTATGGACGGTGGATTTATTTGTTAACCAAACATTTCACTCATCTCTTGAAATGGATTGTATATCATACTTTTGGGTTAACTAAGCTGCATGAAAACGAATGCCATGATATCAGGGCATGTCAGGATTTATTAGTGGTCTAAAAAGATGTTGAAAGTTTTCACACTGGATCATTTGTTTGTAATCATCAACGGTGATTACGGATCCCAACCTTGACAACTTTGCTTAACTTGAATGCTTTTTAAAATGACAGAATCGTTTTCTGGTTTTTGAAGTGGTGTAATGCATGCGGTGGAGTCGATGATTGTCTCTCCAAGATACTCGAAAAACATCTCAAATGAAAGTGAACTGTATTTGAATTCGAGTTATCAAAGAAACAAATATCCTGCGATCTCTAAATGTCGTGACCAATATTATAATGGTGTATACACAGATAGAGTTAACTATATTTCTTGTTCTCCTCGTCAGAGGAACAACAGAGACCTAAGTCGCCCAAATGTGATTGGAATAACTCGTCGCAGCACACAGATATGTGACGACTCATCCTTATTATGCAATCCTCGGAGTTTTTTTAACCCAGACTTACCTCTTCCAGGTAGCCATCCACAAAGAGGAAATTCTTTTAACTATTCCCAGAATATTGGAGTTTACCCGTCATCTGGAAGGTTAAGAATATCAAACCAAGCATCCAAAACTTATTTAAGTTCTTCAGTTTTAAATTTGAGCAATGGAACGAGTAACAGATCACTTCGCCATTTGCGTAAATCTCCGGATAAACATTCACTTTCAACCCGGTACTCTTACTTTACAAACAAATCGCCAAAAGCTGGTAATGATTTCAAGTCTTTTATGTATATGAATAACATCGAGAGGGATCAAGATATTCAAAGACAATGTCTATTTGGAAGTGTCAAACCTCGCGACTGTAGAATGGAATACGATCTTTTATCATCACAGCCTTCAGAAACAAAACAGTACACATTTTCCTCGGAATCAGCGAAGAGAGGAAGTTTGATAGCAGAGAATAAAAGGGAAGGTAATGTGAATAGTTTTAACCTCGCTGATGATAATTATTCTTCCATTATCCATGTTCGACCTCATCATGCGAGAAAAACGGTTGATATGAAACAGAATGGCGAAACCAATGAAGATTCTCCGCATAAGCGCCTGTCGAAATGTCTTCAGTCAAAACGTGAGACATCTTATGACGGCTCTTGTTGTATGTCAGGTACCCTCGCTGTCACCTTGTATGGATCAAAACTCACTGAATTTGAACGTAATGAAATACAAGACTATCCTGAGGTATATTTTCTGGGGCTTAATGCTTCTAAGAGAAATCCACATGTGACTCCTATCAGTGATGTCTTATACAAAAGAAGTAGCATTATTTCGACCGGTACTGTGACTGGGTTCGACGATGCACAAAGCAGTTATATTCTTGTTCCTAATGATCATTTGGCTTATCGATATGAAATCCTCAAACCTCTGGGCAAAGGCAGCTTCGGTCATGTTGTTCATGCAATTGACCATTGTACAAAGAAGCAGGTTGCAATAAAAATTGTCAAGAGTGAAGCCAGATTTACGAGACAAGCCGTTGAAGAGATTCGCATCCTCAAGGCCCTCAATGGGCAACAAAATGATGGGGAGTTTAATGTTGTGCAATTAGTTGATCATTTTGTATTTCGAGGTCATATGTGCATGGTGTTCGAATTGCTTTACATAAATTTGTATGAACTTATTTGTCGAAACAACTTTAAAGGATTCTCTCAGTCTCTGGTGCGGAAACTTACTTACGGTATACTCTGCTGTCTAGAATTGCTATATCGGTGAGTAGACTCAGAAAGTGTTATATGTATCCATTTTATCATTTTAGAATTACAAGTGCAGAGTTTTTAAAATATTACAAGCTTCATAAAAGTATGCAATCATTCCATATCATATTTAGTCAGTAGTTTCTTATGTCTATTACTTAATAAAGGCGATAAGTTTTGTCAGAGTCTCTAATATGAGCATCTTGGTTACTGACTATGTCTGAATGCAATTACCAGTTTTTGACTTTATTACTTTTATGTAAATTATGATTGTTAGTTCCGAATCTAAAAGTGGTAATCTGAAATTTCAGTAACAATATAAATTTTTAAGAGTATCAGTTAAACTTGATCCATTAATAGACTTATCATTGTTCAACTTTATATACTCTAAAGTATCAGTTGCTTTGTTATGTACACATAACAAAACTATTTTCATCCTTCCATAAATTTATGACCTAAATGTTAAAAGGAATTCAGTGTATATAGTACTCTTCTCAAGTGTAATCATATTCTTGTTAAATCCCAAAGTTACTCCATCTAGCTAATTTTTAACCCGTAGCTTATCTTGAAAAAAATCCTTAAAAATTTGATATAAATATTCTACTAGTGATCTTAAAAACCGCATATCAATTTTTCCTAGGAATTTGAATGTGTTGAAAAGTAAGATATGAACTTTTATTGGTAGAACATAGTGTTTAAGGAGGATAAAGGCAACAAAAACTGAATCTATCATGGGAAAATCTATTAGAGCCGAATCACTGTGAATTGTCTGAAACTAAAATAAGTCCGGTCTTTACAAAATTTATTCAGTTTAAAAAGAACTTAACACTAATCTAAGTTTATAAAGCAACCGAAATCTCTTTTACTGTTAATCACTGTTTTTTAAGATTTATCAATAAATTGATGATTGTGAAAATGTTGCATTTATCAAAACTTTTCAAGTAAAAGCGTCTGTCTTTGTTGTTTACACTTTTTTTTCAGTGTAACAACTACTATCACAAAAATATTAAGAACCAGATTTATATCTCAAAACTATAAGGAAATTAATTTATGAACTACACCAATGTTAGGTCCTTGATAGAAGGAATACTCGTATATTAATGATTAGCAAACAAAAGTTATGGAAAATAACGCGAAAGATCATCGCTAGTTAACTAAATCCATAATACCATGTTGTTGATTTGATACAACAAAATTTACGACTTGACTCCTGCTAAAGTGAAAATTAAACACTCACTTTTTAGGAAGTATATACCATCAAAAAATTATAATAATCAAATAATTAGGAATTTCGATGATATCCTAAAGGATATAAACTTATATTTCGAGACCTTTTACAAGTCACTTCTATTAAGTATATAAATAAATTACCGAAATAAGTTAATACGACAGATCCTGAAAAAGTCTGAATTAAAGGATTGGCAGTAATGGAAGAGATTGGGATTCAAACATATTATTTACGGAGTATAATCCTGTGAAATCAATTAGAAGTAGAGAGATAAATATGATGAGTAATTCAGAAAATTAGAATTTGAGAGAAAACAAAGAGTGGATGAATTTGTGACATTGCAAACGATTTTGAGCCATGTTATTCAAAGTCTCTAACCATCGGTTACTAATGTATCGCAGACCCCAACCTGGTGGTCTGCACCTACTAACGGCTCAGTCCAGCTGTCGGTGACTTCATGCGTTTGTGGCCCCTCTTATCTTTCTTCAAGCCTGCTCCTACACCACAAAACATAGCTTGCCGAGGCATTCGTCGGTCGGGCATACGTAACACATGTCCCATCCACCTCTGCTGAAGAAGATTCACTACTTCATCTATTGATCTACTATCCTTACTTATTACCCGTTTCCTAATAGCAGAATAGCTCACTCCTGGATTATACTTCTAGAATCATGTGTTTGACCCCTAACATTATGGGTTACCGCCAATACTTGTGCTAACTCTACTACTATGGGATTTGAGTTGACAAGTGTATCTCTGCGCTAATGTTGTATGGCAACTTGAACAAATGTACGTACGTACGAAGTTGCACGTTGTAGCTGACTGACTGGCTCTGTAAAACGTCTAATACTGTACAAAACGCCTTACTTAGCATTAAGGACTCGATCCCATATATATCCATGCAAAATTGTGAGTGCGAATTTGATTGTGTCGATTGTGACGCGTTCTACATTGGATAGTCTTCACGTGAAATCTCGAATAGTGCCAAAGCACATTCAATCTATACATAAAACTGTTGAGCTGCAGAATTCACAAACTGTTTCAGAAGTAGTGGTACATGCTATTTTCAGTAACCACCAAGTCAATGACAAAAGTTTCAATTCAGAAAGGTTTCTCCAACTATTAAGAAAGGCGAGTAGTCTAAGCATTTTGCATAATGCTAAATTCCTCTGCCCTCAACTGGAAAGAGGGACAGATTATTCATCCAACTTGGACTGTTTATCTAAACAACTACATTTGACTCATTATATACACAATTCTACGCGTACATACACAGATGTTTTATTATTTTTAACTCGACTACTTCATGTCATTAAATACATACTTTTATCATTCACCTTTGTGCATACAAGTTTTAAGGTTTCAAACAGAATCACCTTGGCATGACAGTGACATGTTCAGACTTAATGTGCTTGTACTGAAAATACTCTGCTTTGTTTTCTGCTTACTAATTAAACTTGTGTTAATTGTCTTCGGTTATTTATTTATTTTCTTCGAAGAACTAACTTGGAATAGGTCACAAAACATCAGGGATACAAATTTTACGATATCACCAAAACTCATATTTATCTTACTGTTATTAATCTTTTACCTAATGATCGATTTGTTTGAAACTATGAAGTCCAACATATGCATTTATACTGACTAAAAATTCTATTTATCAGAATGAAATGATAATAAGCTTTTCCAGAAGATAAGGTCTATTGGTCCGTTTTTATTGGTAGTTTGAATCTTCTCGTTGATAATCGTGACTGCAGTTGATCAGTTTCATTTGGCACATGTGCATGCCGCGGGTTGTCATTAGGTCACAAGCAGAGATGGTTAGTGTTTAGTAGTGGAATTTAAGACGTGCATTTCGTCTTATTTGGGACTCATCAGCTGGATACTTTTGAATCTCAAAGTTGATGTTCACTCAGAGACTCAAACTCAGTATCGTTCACTCCAAACAGCATCGCGTTTTCCACTTAGCTACTGAGCACAGATAGCCACTGGGTTGTTCATCGGAGTGAAGTTTAAATCATTTTAATTTGATTTGTGCAAATTAGTCTTAAATAAGAGGAAACGACTGTTTTGGATTCTACTTCTGTTCAAAATCAATCTTTGCTTTATATGTCTGTTAAATTTTTTCTAGGAATATGTGAAAGAAGAATGATTTTAAGGGATCCAATGTCTATTTTTGAACGAAATTTTGCTTAAGAAATTCGAATTTAGTGGTTATATTGTTGATAATTTACTTGCAAGCTGTCTAGAATGATCAGCGTTGAATATATTTCATGCACTGAACCTTCACAACTTAAAAACTGAATAGGCTAATTCAGATCATTTGTCCCTGAGCAATCGGGCACGTGTGCACCTTCCTTTTTACCGCGTTCAGAAGACATTTTTAACCCAGCTTAGTAAAAAAACAACTCAGATTCGGCAAGTTTACCCTTCTTGATCTTATGACGGATTAAAAACATTCAGCAACAGATTATTTTCATGATATCATTAATAAGATACACTTATGATATATTTATACATATATTATGGGATAAACCCTAAAATTAATTTACATAATACACTCTGGAATCAAAAGCGACTTAGAAAAACAACGAACTGAATCTCACTTATTTTAGTATAACTAGATTTTACTCAATGTTTATAAAAGTGTTCTTGATTTTCCACGAAATTTTCCCATTTTACGTTCACATTCTGTAATAATTTTTAGATTCAAAGCTACTGAAATTATTTTGTATTCTCGATTGTTTTTTGAACTTTCTACTCTTTGCAACTGTCCATTTTAAACTTTGTTAGTCAAGTTTGGTATTAGGAGTTATCATGTTGGTATTGAAAATGGTTTAATGTATGAGGTTGTTTAACTTTAAGAAGAAAATTGTCTTAACAGAATTTTTTTCATTAAAACATTTGTTTGACGAAACGCTGATCGAACTTGAATAAAACATAAGGTTCTAATAATAAATAGACATATTTAGTATCTGGATAATTAAACAAAGTTATATAATGATTCTTCATTCTGAACAATTTAATTGAGGTCTCAACTTTGCCTTTTCTGATTTCAATTTTCGAAGCTTCTCAAGTTGTTTCGTTTTCATTTGAAACTGTCGCAGCATTACTGTCAGTTAAATTCATATACTGAGGTACTTGTAGTTCTAGTCGAATCATGTGTGTAAATTCTCTTCATCTTAGTTATAGTGTAATAAATGTGTATGCACCTTGCGTTACTGTCATTATGGCCTCAAGTTTTCCTAAACCTTTCTGAAGTCTTTCGACAACGAAAAATCCATTAATTACAGTGTGATAATATTATAATATTATTATAAAGCTCTATGAAGTAATTGTCCAATGTTTTTTCCGCTAATTAAAATTATCTGATATTGACTCAAAAATGCTTGTTTTTTCATTCATGGAATTTGAATATATGTCAAATTAATAAAACGGTCAAGAGATTATACAATCGTCATTTTGAATAGCTTGATTTTGTAGTGACAAATAGATAGACTGTAAAGAACTTTTATTTTTTTAAAATGAAACCTTACTATAAATCAAAGTATACAGAAACAAGTTTTATCTATTTACATATAATCAGATCCCCCGATGATAAATCATTGATAATTCATTTATTGTTCGTTGTTAAGAAGTACTTTCATTTTCTAAAATGTTTTCAATACACTTGACCGTGGAAAGCAAGCAAATACTGATTGGTTGTTACTAATAAATAAACGTAGTATAAGAATGAAAAAGATAAAATTAGTGTAAATGATAACAGTATGACGATTGTTAGATTACT